TCAGCTGTTCCGATACATTGCGGATTGAATGTCTTGTCGATTGCGATTAGAACACCGCCCCAGCCTTTTCTCTTGATACGCTGAAACTGTTCAGTGGTAGGTGATCTATCGCATCTGAATACTTCAAAGTTCGGCGGAAATATCTCTGATGAAGAAACATCTGCGTTGAGGTGCGTTTCGCTTAACATGTAAATTTTAAAAATCGCTGCTAAAACTTCAGATAAAAAATCAACTGATTTATTATTATTATTATTATTATTCTGCACCATATAGCGTTTCTTCGCCAGAGGTGGTTTATTTGTAAAAATATAAAAAACAAGTTATATTTAAAATTTCACAATTTCACAATTTTTCAATCTCTCCAAATTCTGTTTCTCTTAAAATATTCATTTATTCTATGCCTAACAGTATCTGTACTTGTATTGAAATCAATTAAATAAGTATCACAGACTGGAATTGTACTAATGTTAAATTCATCTGAAATATTTGGTGGTTTTATAGGTACACAGTATTTATAAAATTTATTGTATGTAATGAGCATATAGTTGATGGGCTCAAACTTGGTGTAATCACTGTGACGCGTTGGTAACGATAGGAAATCTGATTCTCTTGTCCAACGTTTCGGTGTTCTAATGTATATACTGTTCAGAATCTGCTTCGATGATGTATGTCCACATATCACATTGTGAATTGTTGAAATTTGTGCAATTTTTCTTCGTTCTTCGAGCGTAGTCATTTGCAATTCCAGCAATCGACATTCATATGGTGGTTTTTTGAACTTGTGTGGCCATTTTATTTTTCTTAGTGCATATAGTAGAAATTGCTTTTGAATTGATTCGATTCTGGCAATTTTCTCGTCAGTATATGGGCACCATATTTGTGATCCGTATTCAATAATCGGTAATACGAATGTGAAAAAGAGTCTCTTTATGGTCCAAGGATCATTGAACTCTCTTCCGAAGCGTTTGATCCATGCTAGTCTTGACTTAGCTTTGGCAGTTATGTATTCGATGTGTGGTGTAAAATTCAATTTTTCATCCAAAACCACTCCGAGGTCCTTTATTATTTTGACTCTCTCAATCGGAACGCCTCCGATGGAGTAAACATAAGCAAACTTCAATTTTCCACGATGATATGACACAAGTTTCGTTTTGTTGACGTTCAATGCCATACGGTTTCGTTTGAAGTACTCAACAATTCTGTTTAGATCTTCTTGCAGTGCTATACAATCCTCAATTCGATTTATTTGCATCGAGAAGCGTGTGTCATCGGCAAATGATTGTAGATTCGAATTGACCAAGTAGTGTGGTAAATCAATGATGAACAAGATGAACAATGTCGCGCCGATCGGATATCCTTGACCAGTTCCCGATGTTACTTCTAAAGGATTAGACATGATTTCATTTAATTTTACAATTTGTTCACGCTTACTGAGGTATGATTTGATCCAATTTAGCAGCTGTTCATTCAGTCCCATAATTTTCAGCTTATGTATGAGCAGGTTTATGTCAACTGAGTCAAAAGCCTTTGCAAGATCAAGATAGATTGCATCAGTTTGAATCCCATGTTCCATGTTGATCAGTGTGGGTGAGGTGAATTCAACCAAGTTCGTAATTGTTGACCGTCCCTTTATGAAACCATGCTGGCTATCATCAATGATGTTCTTTATGTGATAATTCAGATGGCTTGCTATAATTGAATCCAAAAGTTTTGGTATTATGCATTGCAGGGCGACTCCACGATAATTTTCGATTTTGTATTTTGATCCACTTTTATGCACAGGTCTCACATAAGATTGTTTCCATGCGATCGGTACATTTCCAGTATTCAACGATTCGTGCAATATGTGAGTTATTGGCTTCAATAATGAAAGCATGCATTTTTTGATGAGTAGATTTGGTATTCCGTCGGGACCAGACACCAAATTGTTTGGTAGCTCATTCATTTTTTCCATGACTAATTCCTCATCGATTTGAATAGGTGGAATGTTAGCACATCGGTCCAACAATATGGGATCATCTTCACAATAACTTGCTTCAGATCCATCAGTTGTCTGTGTGTATGCCTTTTTGAAATGTGCTGCAAATGAATTGGCAATTTCGAATGGATCGTCAAATTTTCGGTCTTCGTATTCCATTTCAGTTGGAAGATCATTTTTTGTGTTGTTACACGCTCTGACGTATTCAAAAAATTTCTGAGGATCTTCATTTATCAGCTGTTCAATTTCGAGCTTGTAAATCCTAAAAGCAAATCGAGATTGTTTTTTATATTCACGACGTAATTCGATATGTTGGTTTCTTATCACATCAGTCGGATCAAATTTCTTCTTGCTGTGCAATTTGTTAACACGATTCTTCATATTTATTAGTTCACGGCTAAACCACTTTGGATGATTGGACTCTTTTCTGGTTTTGACTTCAACATTCATTTCAATTGCAGTGTTAATTCTCGAATACAACTGGTCAACTGCTGCATTCAGATCGGGTTCGTTGATAATACTGCTCCAGTCGGCATTTGAGAAATAATCATTCATTGCATTGTAATCAGCATTCTTGAAGTCTTTGTACGAAACTTGATTTTCGGCTTTCTTTTCAATTTTTTCATGGATGATTACTTCAAGCGCTTGATGATGTGATTCTTTCTTTGCTATGTCGCTGTCATTTTTGTTGCATGTGAACAAGTTGGGTTCATTGGTCCATATTAAATCCAGCCACCGATTGTTGTTGTTGTGATGTGTGCATATTTGATGCAATCCAAGCTCGTTGCAAGTGTCGAGCACGATTCTTTCTTTCTCACTCACCGCATTGATAGCCACTGCTACATTTGGATTGTGTTGAAAAATGTCATCAGGATCATAATCAGCATTGTTGTTGCATGTGTACCAGATCAGATTCCGGAGATTGAAATCACCCGATACCAACAACACATCGTTTTGATTTGCTTTAGAAGCGACTTCACGTAGTGCATTCATGTTTGCTTTGTAGACTTCAAACGGTGAGTCTGGTCGAATGTATAGCTGGATCAGTATTAAATTTCTGCCATTATACTTGACTTTTGCCCATACTTGTTCCGCTCCAAGATGTTCGGCTGTTCCAATACATTGTGGTTGCAACGATTTTTCTACTGCAATTAGTACACCACCCCAGCCTTTCTTCTTGACTCGCTGATATTTTTCAGTGTCCGCAGATCTGTCACAGCGAAACACTTCGAAATTTTGTGGAAAAAATTCAGAAGAGGCGACATCAGGACTGAGGTGTGATTCGCTCAACATGTAAAAAAGGAAAGACGACGCAAGCACTTCAGCAAGAAAGTTTATCGCTTTTTCTTTATCTTTGATGCCATTCATATTATTGCAATACATTGCAGCTTCATCCAACATTGGAACTACATTATTGAATAGATGTTGTTGATGTGGCTGCTGAATGTGAAATGATGTGGCAAAAAGTGGATTTAAACAGAATGATGAGGTGGAGAAGGCTGGGTTTAACTGTGATAAAATGGCTGAGGTTGTGCATACATTAGCATTTGTGGTGGTAGATGTTGTGGCATTTGCATTGGAATTTGTGATGGATGATGATGCATTTGTTGCAAACCTGGTATCACATACGGCGGATGGAAAAATGGTTGCTGCAGAAAAGGAGCAGGTTGCTGCCACTGACTTAGCCGTTGGCTATACACATTTTGATTTTGAAATCTCCGATTGTGATTGTATGGACGAGAGAAATTTTCAAAACGATGATTTCTGTTGGAATATCGTGTCTTTCGCTGATTGTCATTTTGCTCTCGTTGAAAATGTGCATTTGGTTTGCCTTTGGTTTGCCGATTGTTGTTGTTATCAGAATTATGTTGTGTTGTTCGTTTTTTTTCGGCGTTTTGTTTATTTTTCTTCTGAGCTGTACCATCAGATTGCTTTTTCACTGGGTGAATGAATGGTTTCACGATGTAATTTGGATCCCAATCATCCAAGGTGATGATCTTGTTGCAAACTTCATGGGACAAAGTTGAAATTTTGAAAGATGAAAAATTTCTTGAGTTACCTTTGAACCGTTTGTTTGGAATTTTCTCAACAGAAAAGGCATCAGTGTGAATTTCAGAGTTGGCAATGATAATGGCAGTTACATCATCGGAGGTAGCATCTTTCGGCAAACGAGAAACATGAATTGAATAAATACCATTTATCGGTGTGATTTTTTGTGGCCCCGGTGTTTTTTTCGGATTGGTGTTTTTGTTGTCACTATGACTAGCTGAAGATGATGCACCTAAATCAATTAAACCATTATTCAATTTGTTTTGTATCGATTTGTTGACAGATTTAACGATTTCTTCACTCAATCGCTGAATGGATACTTCTCTGTGCTCCACTTCAGTGGTTATCTTGTTGAACTTAGTTGCACAGCAATGACATGTTATTCCGAATATTGAATCAGCGCTGAACATTTGAAGAAATTCGGAATATTTGCTGGGTTTGTCCGATAATATCTTCCATTCGAAAGTACCATCACTTCTTACAGTTTTGGACATCAGTTCAAACGCATGCAATAACTCCTTCGTTCTCAATTCATCAAGCTGGCTGATTTGTCTATACTTTTCACGCCGTTCAAATTATTACAGTATATCAAAACGTCATCAAACAGACTTACATTCCATTGTGATTTTGAACGTTGAACGGTTGGAAGTTTTGATGTGGTGCGTGTGTATAGTGCGGATGGAATAGTGGCATAGTTGGTCGAGAATGAACCTGTTGCTGAGGTGGAGGGTAGAAATATGGCGTTTGGTACCAAAAAGGAGGCGGCATATTGGTCTGTGGCAATTGTCCATTGTGCATGTGATTTACACGATGGCGAGGTTCATAATTATATCGACCGTTGTGGTTATTACGATTTCGATTATGGTAGCCAAATTCATTCGATCGATCCTCACGTCGGCGTCTGTGTTGGTTATTCATGTCCCGCAACAGTTGTTATTGTTCCGGTTGTGTCTGGTGTGATGTTTGTTACTGTTGTTGTTGAATCTATTGGAATGTCGTGAGTTTGAAGTTGACTTGGCTGTTGTACGACGGTAGTCATTGTGTTTTCGCCTATGAACATTACTTCGATTACGTGTTTTTTCAAAAGCTCTAACACGATATTCACTTGACCAGATATCGGAGTTGCATAGCAATTCACATACCTCCCGTGTGAATACGGTTATTTTGAAAGCATTGTAGGTTTTGCGGTATTTTCTTTTGCTGGGCAGTGCAAAAACCTTGAATATATCCGGGTTTAGGTTGGCTTTTTCCATTAAGTAGCTGACAATATCATCTGAAGATGAATCTGTATCAGCTTTGGAAACGTACAAAGTGTATAGTCCATTTGCATCTTCCGTCGGTATTACAATTCGTTTGGTATGCACATTTGGTTTGTTGGATACGCTAATGTTAGCCGGCAACATACCAGGTTGGTTCATTTGAGATGTTTGATTTGAGTTTTCATGACTTCCACTCGGTTTATGTACATTGGATCGGTCGGAGCCATTATCATTTTGCGTGTGACT